CCTATCAGTGGACCTGGGGAGTGGCATGCATGCAGAAAGGGGAGGGAGGGTGGTATTGGGAGGGTAGGAGGGAGGGGCTTATGGGGGGATACAAAATGAATAAAGTGTAATTAATAAAAAATTTTTAAAAAAAGATCTTGTGGTTAATCCTTGGAGCATTTTTCCATGGTGTTTGTAACTTTCATTTTGTGGATGTCTTATTTGATGAGTTATACTCACGTTTGATCTTTTCTCAGTCTTATCCTCAGGTGAAACCCTAACCATTGCCTATGTCATCAGTTCTCACCGCTTTCATGCTGTATTTACTTTTGCTATTATTTATTTATTTGCTTATTTATTGTGTTTATGTGGTTGCATATGTGCCACAGCATTGTAGAAGTCACACGACAATCTGCTGGACTCCATTTTCTCCTTCTAATATATCTAATTATTTAAATTAATATATACATTATATATAATATGCATAATGTAAAATGTCCTGTGATTGAACTTAGTTCTTCAGGCATTGTAGCAAAAGCTTTACTCAACAGCTTTTTTCTTGTTGAGTCATCTCCCAGCCCTTCTACAGTTAAAAGCTTTAGATACAAAATGCATTTTAGTCCTAAATTGTTTCTTTAATTACAATCATTTTTATATAATGTTCAAAATTACATTATCTAGAGTTACAGAGGATTTGGAAAACACACACATGCATAGTGACACATGTATACTGACAGGGTCTCACTGGATAGAGTAGGCTGGACCATGTACTTAGAATTGCCTCTGTCTGCCATATGCTAAGATGTCAGGTGTGTACCAGCATGCTTGCCCTGAGAGTGATTTATTCCTTTTTAAGTCATTCACAAGTACTGAGCTTTAAGACATAAGAAAACTCCCACCAGAGATAGAGGAGGGCTCCCCTTTCTCCACATTCTCTCCAGCATGTGTTGTCACTTGAGTTTTTTATCTTAGCCATACTGATGGATGTAAGATGGAATCTCAGAGTCATTTTGATTTGCATTTCCCTGATGATTAAGAAGGTTGAGCATTTCTTTAAGTGTTTCTCCACCATTCGATATTCCTTTGTTGAGAATTCTCTGTTTAGCTCTGTATCCAATTTTTTAACTGGATTATTTGGTTTGTTGGTGTCTAATTTCTTGAGTTCTTTGTTTATTCTGGATATTAGCCCTTTATTGGATGTAAGATTAGTGAAAATCTTTTCCCAATTTGTAGGTTGTTGCTTTGTTCTGGTGACAGTGTCCTCTGCTTTACAATAAGGAAAAGAACTGAAAATTTAACTTTCCTTGATCCATAAGATATTAGTACATGTGGCGAAACATTTTTCTGAGATTGAGAGAAGGGCCAGAAACACAAAGAGTCACAGTTTGTCAAAGTAGAAACTCAAGAGTTTCAGACAATTCAGAGCCATTGTCCAGGCAGAGGACCTCAACTGTAATAGCTGAAGGCACACATGAACAAAGCCAAACATCCTTAGCATTGTCTGCCATACCCTATCTTAGTCAAAGAGTCAATGTGTTGAGAATTTTCTCTCCAGGAGTTTAACCAGGTTTTTTAGCAAACCTTGGGGGGAAATCCTTACACGAGAAAGGAAAAGGTCATTTTGAAATAAATAGTGCCCATCCATTATGGTTTTGTTTATTTTTCTGTGGATTTTAGAGACAGGGTTTTGCTACATAACCCAGGCTGAACTTACAATCCTTCCTCACAGACTCCTAAACACTGGGAATGCTTATGTGCAGCCTTAAAGTCATCTCTTTGTTCTTGATAGGTCTCTCTTCAAAGAGAAAGGTGTAACTGTGGTCATTATAGGATTGCCAGTTGCCATGGGTTGGGTAAATGTATAATGTGGCAGGGCAATTAGAATTTTTAAATGCAAAAAATATTTATGTAATTATATGTGTGCTTAAATTTGCAGAAGGTTTAATTCCCTAAGGGAAAACAAATGTCAACTAGGAACTTTTGGCAATAATATTAGGTGAACACATGTACATCAGTATTTAAAAGATGTATTACTCTTCTTTTTTAAAGGGTATTAAAAGGAAGAAAGGCTTCATCTGTGCTGTGGAAAGGTTAAGGCAATGTTTTCACGCTTCACTCACACTGGAATAGAAATGGAATTCAGAATAAAGAGATAAGGGGAGAATTGTATCTTTGTCTTGTTTTGTTTTGAGGTGATAACACAGTTTTGTACTGTTGAAGAATGTCGATTGAGGCACAGAGGTACAAGAATCTGAATAGAAGAGATCACAAGTGGTAAGCTCTCTGTAACCTAGTTAGCTCAAGGCAAAGATTTATAAGAGTGCCATTGTATATCAAAGTTCACTGCTATGTGAATTCATCATTCACTTCACTCTTAGATGTTTGTACCCATGGGATCTGTGGATACCAGTTATATATTTGGGCTCTGTAAATAGACTTGAATAAGTCTGAGGACCTAATGAATGATTCATGCTGAGTGATGCGCCATGAAGTTAAAATTTCAGGTACATAAAGAAAATAATAGTAAATAGTCCAGGGATAAAGTCTTACTTTCCATAAAATGACTCAGGCACTAATATCATCTAAATCCAATTACTTTAGTAATATGGGTCAGAGTTGAGACCATGGATATAGAATAAGACTCTCTCACAGCAGACTTTGCTCCCCACTCTGGTGGTTTAGGTGAAAATTTTCCCAACAGCCTCATATATTTGAATGCATGGTCCCCAGTCAGTGAAACTGTTCATGAAAGAGTAAGAGGTACCTCCTAAATAAAATGGTCTTGCTGAACAGGTTTGGCCTTGCTGGAGTAGATATGTCACTAAGAGTGGGCTTTTATGTTTCAAGAACCCATACTGCCCTCCCCAACCCCTGTCTGTTTTTCTGAAAAGCTCTCAGCTACTGCCATAGTGCTATACCTGTCTGTTTCCTGCTATGGTGATCATGGACTAACTTTTTTAAAATTGGAAGTAATCTTCCAATTAAACGCTTTCTTTTATAAGGGTTACCTTGGCCATGGTGTCTCTTCACAGCAATAGAGCAATAACTAAGATAACAATTACAAACTTTGAGACCTGGGATGGATAGTTCTTGGTCAACTTGGCACAACAGAATTGCTGGAAAGAGAAATCTCATTTGAGAAAGGGCTTCCATTAGATTGCTTGTAAGCAAGTCTATAGGGCATTCTCTCTGTTTTTTTTTAATTATTTAGTCTCTTTACATGCCTATTGTAGCCCCTCCTTTCTCCCCCCACCCCCAGCCCCATTCCCCATCCCTATTCCTCAGAAAAGGAGAGCTCCCCTTCCAGTTTATCAAGTCACATCAGGACTGAGTGAGTCCTCTTCCCCTGTGGGGGGAGGAAGTGAGAGATGTGGAGGGTGACCAAAAAAGCAGGCAACAGAGTCCATGTAAGAGACAGTCCTCAGTCCCCTTACTAGGCTACCTTCATCAGGGCATTCTCTTGACTGACAACATGAGAGTACCCACCCCACTGGGCAGGCTGTAATGGGAAGCAAGCCAGTAAGTCTTCCTATCAGTGGTCTCTGCTTCCATTCTACCTCCAGGTTCCAGCCTTGCTAAATACTGCCCAGTTGTTCCTCAGTGATAGATTGTGTAAGATGAAACAAACCCTTTCCTCCCCAAATTTCTTTTGGTCATGGCACATAATAGAAACCTAAGTAAACAAGACATAAGGAAAGAAAGCCATTTTCTCTGGGTGTATGTAAGGCTTCTTTTCTCATCTATAAAACATTGATAATATCTGGTTGATGGAACTGTGCAATGGATCAAGTCCATTAGTGGAAATAAAACAGTGCACTAGCACCTGGCATGCAGCAAGTGTTCAGTAGATGTTGGTCATTAATACTATTGCTTTTTCTGTCTTCCTAATTAGGCTGCATCTAACTCCTGGCTCTGTGCTGTTTTCCAGACATTCTGTAGGAGATATGGCTTCACCATACACAGGTAGATGAAATTAAGACAACACAGCATAATACCCCTGACATGCATTGTCATTGCACCATGATAACCAGTACCTTTCCCCAACTTTCCTTCTGCTTAAACATTATTCAGATATTTCATCAAAGCAGACTTTTCCAGAAGTCAGTGAAAACAAATAGAAATCACATTCCTTGGACAAAGTTAAGAGAGACTTTTTTTCCCCCTTCGGCATTCTTGCCACTGAGGATTGCATTGCCACTGCTGTCTGCATTCAGCTACGTAAGATCTCAACCTCAGCTAGGTAAGGAACTTAAAATGCAATCACAACTGGTAAGGCAATCGCAGTTGATGTCTTGTCCTTTCTAAGGTTTCAAGGCTTTGTCTTCGGTTCAAATGTCTTTATTTTATAAGGAAGGTGATTTGGGTCAGACTTTTTCCACTTTGCTGACTTGGCTTCTCCATGTCACACCACTCGTCTTTCCTGTGCGTGAAGTAGCCTGTGTCATCAATTCCCCATAGGTTTGTGACAAAGCAAAGGGCAATATAATCATGTTTCAGATGAGAAAATTAAATGACTGTACTAAGTTTTTGACCAGGTTTTTGCACCAGGTCTTTTATTAATGCCAATTTTGTTTTCATAAGACTATGTTCTTTTGTTACCAGAATTTTTAAAAGTGATAAGAAAATAGTAAGGAAAGAATAATTCAACAGTTTGAGGTTATAAAATGATTTGTAGAAACTAACATAGATTTTTAAGTTGATTCTAAGAATATTTTACATATCACACACATCTTTTATTTTAACCTTTATAGTTATCTCTTGGTCCATCAAGAGCCACAGTAAATATCAAAATATTTCTAATTGTTCAATGTTCATAAATATTCAAACATTAGAAATGTCACCAGAGGAAAACTTTACCCAAATTTTAAAACTCTTAAATTAAGTATGACCGTGTTGCCAAAGTTTTATACTTCAATGAAAATTCTAACTTACAACCTAATGTTCTTTTAAAATAACTGGTTTACTTTTTTGTAAGTAAAAGTTTCTTCTTTACTTATTTTTGTCTATGACACTCATCTTACCTTGAATCCACCAAAATGTCTTGTTTTTCCTGGTCTTGAAGGCTGGGACTCTGCATCTTTGCCTGAATGTTGAATTTGGTCCATGATTGAATAGTGTGTGTGACAGGAAGGTTTGCAATCACTGTTGATAAATATTTTCCTTTGAAATGATCACCTGCCCAGGAAGAAAACATATCACTTATTTTGCTTTAACAGTATTCAATTTATAAATGAGAAAAACCATAATGTCAACCCCAACCATTCCATGACTGATATTAAGGGCTTCTTAGGTCTCAACTGCTGAACTAGACAAATGCTGCACACAAAAATGGAGAAAGAAAATGCAATGTTCTAACCTCAGGGACATTTTTAATTTTAAATTAGTAAATTTATGATGAGAAATGTAAAGCCATTAAATTAAATAAGATTTATTTATATTTGAAATGAACAAAAGCATTAAATTATAGGAACTAGGATTTTGATATCACTCTGCATGTCTTAGGTTTTATAGCCTAAGAAATAAAACTGTGCATTAAATTTGTCTTTGAAATTTTAAAAAGTGCCAAAAGGAGCCTTACATTTAGCAAATACTCAAACATGTTATGGGTCATAATAAGAACTGTGTAAGGTAGTTTCACAGAGGGGTAGATTTGGAGCAAAAGTAGGTAGGGTTCATGTCTGATGAAATGTGTAAAGAATGTTCCAGGAACCACAGAGACACTGGCCATGTTTGACTTATCTTGAGAAGTCATTTATTATCTAAGATTTAAAAAATGATTATAAAACATGAGACAAAAAATAATCATAAACCTTCCTTATGCCTGTCCCTGCATTTAGAAGGAATTAAATACATGGTTCCCTTATAACATGAATGGTGTCATATCATCAAGGCTGTCCTATGCTCTTTTCACTGATGCATATACTGAATGTCATCTGTATAAAGGGGGCTTATAAAGGGGATGTACAAAGGGGATTCTAAAGGGGATGCATTGTCCATGCTGTATTTAACTAGCTGCATATAGAGTAGTAATTGGGATGTATTTATTCATGAGCGATCATTCCTGTGGGGTGAATTCCTACAAGCATTTAGTATCAAGTATAAAAGAACCTATATTTTAAGTGTTTGACTCCTTATTCTTTTTTTATTTGATTGGTTTTTTTTTCTTTTTTTTTTTCAAGACAGTGTATCTTTTCGTAGCCTTAACTGTCTTGAAACTAGCTGTGTAGGCCAAGCTAGCCTCAAACTCACAGAGATCTACCTGCCGCTGTCCTTTGGGTGCTGGGATTATAAGGTGTGTGGCCTGACGTTGGGGAGCCTGCCTGGAGACCAACAACCAATGTCAGGCTCACGGGTTGTGTGAAGGGACCTAACTGGTCTCCCAACACTATATAATGTGCCCTCTCTTCCAGGAATAAACCAGTCTGCATGTGCTTGCCATCGGATGGCAGTCACCTGACTCCTGGTGTCTGTGTAGTTACCCTAGCACCTTTCACCCTCTTGGCTTGGCAGCCATAAGACTGGAATCTTGAAAGGAAGACCAACTTCTGGCATCCAACATGGGGCATGAACCTATTATCCTGAGATTAAAAGTTAAGAAACATGTATGTCTTTCTGCTTCTGGGATACCTCACTCAGAATGATCTTTTCTAGATCTTAACATTTGCCTGCATATTTCATGATTTCCTTGTTTTTTAATTGCTGAGTAGTATTCCATTGTGTAAATGTACCACAATTTCTGTATCCATTCCTCAGCCGAGAAGTATCTGTGTTATTTCCATTTTCTTGCTATTACAAATAAAGCTGCTACAAAAATGCTTGATCAAATGTCCTTGTGGTGTACTTGAGCATATTTTGGATATATGCCTAGGAGTGGTATAGCTGGATCTTGACAAAGCACTATTCCTAGTTGTTTGAGAAAGTGCCAGATTGATTTCCAAAGTGGTTGTACAAGTTTACATGATATGTACTCACTTATAAGTGATAATAGACATATAAGATAGGATAAACATACTAGAGTCTGTATACCTAAAGAAGCTAAGCAAGAAGGAGGACCCTGGGTGAGATGATCAATACTCACACAGAAAGGCAAATGGGGGAGGGGGGCTGGAGAAATGGCTTAGAGGATAAGAGCACTGGGGGCTCTTCCCAGAATCCTGAGTTCAATTCCCAGCAACCACATGGTGGGTCACAACCATCTATAACGAGACCTGGTGCACTCTTCCAGCCTGTAGGCCTACATGCAGGCAGAATACTGTACACATAATAAATAAATATATTAATTAATTTAAAAAGATTAAAAAAAAAAAGAAAGGCAAATGGAACGGAAATCTGAAGAGGGAGAAAACAGGAAACAGGACAAGAGCCTTCCACAGAGGGTGTCTGAAAGACTCCACCCAGCAGCGTATCAATGCAGATGCTGAGGCTCATAACCAAAGTTTGGGCAGAGTGCAGGGAACCTTATGAAAGCAGGGGGAAATAGAAAGTCCTGGAGGGGTAGGAGCTCCACAAGGAGAGCAACAGAACCATAAAATCTGGGCACAAGGGCCTTTTCTGAGACTGATACTCCAACCAAGAATCATGCATGGACTTCAAACCCCTGCTCAGATGTAGCCCATGGCAGCTCAGTGTCCAAATATGTACCCTAGTAAGGGGAACAAGGACTGTCTCTGACATGAACTTAGTGGCTGGTTCTTTGATCACCTCCCCCTAAGGGGGGAGCAGCCTTACCAGGTCACAGAGAAAGACAATGCAGCCAGTCAGGAGGAGACCTGATAGGCTATGTTCAGATGGAAGGGGAGGAGGACCTCCCCTCTCAGTGGACTTGAGGAGAGGCATGGGAGGAGATGAGTGAGGAGAGGTAGGATTGGGAGGGAAAAAGGGAGAGGGCTACAGCTGGGATACAAAGTGAATTAACTGTAATTAATATAAAAAATTAAAATTAAAAAGTCAAAAAACATAAATATGATTTAGATATGTGCCTATTATACAGTGTGTTCACTATATGGTAAATGTACAGTTGACTATTGTTATGCTAGTTATAATTTGTAAAATTAATTAGAACATGGAAAGTACATATCTAAACTCCGATTCTAGAGGACCCATCAGGGCAGATTCCTGGATACCTACTGTCACAACAATTTAACTAGCTAATGTAACCTTTCATGTACATTTCTGTTGAAAAGTATTTTCCTGAATATACTCACACCATTAACATTGAAGGAGCAGAGTGTAAAATGCTAGCTCAAGTTAGCCTGAATGTTATGAAACACAAATAGTCACATACATTCACACAAACTCTGTCTCTCTTTGCACACACATTTATGGATCAATAATGGGGTATTATCACTCATATAAATGTGAATAAATATAAATCGATGCAGACCACAGAAATGCATGTACAAATAGCTGAATTCCAGTCATCCCATTTTCTTCACGTTTCAGCCAATCATACCTGCTTCTGTTCAGCTCCTGGGTGGGGTGGGAGGAGCAGAAAAATCAACCATGTGTTGTGTTAAGGTCATAAGAAATCCTTCAGTAAGTTTTCCAACATTTTCCCATACATGTCTTTGTTCAGGACTAAACATTAGGAAATAGCTTTTCCCAGGTAATCTCAGGTTGGCATGGCTTGTGAAGTAGACTTCTTTCCTTTACACCTAACCTTCATATATATATTTCCAAACCCCAGAAGGCAGCTGTCTTAGTCCTCCCATTCTTTAATGGACTAACTTCTTATCCTTCAACCTTGCCTACTTCCCTGTGCACATTCTACCTGGACTTAGAACATCTAATGGATCCATATACTACACAAAATATGATTTATATTTTTCATTTGGTGTCTTCACAATTTAAACCCAGCTCTTGTTTAAAGTTTTATTTTCAATTCATTCACAAAGCCGTCTACACATGGAGACACCATTTGAAGAATAACAGTCTGGACCCTTTTGAAGTTTCTTCTTAACTTGTAATCTTCCTCATCTCAAGGTTGTATATCTTCCCCAATTGTCTCTTTTTAGTGTTCTGTTACCTTTCCTGAAACAATCACTCCCTTTCTGATATTCATGGTGGGTGCACCATTCAAGCATCGTGTCATGTGTTTCCCCTCCTTTGTCAGACAGACTAATTATATATAGTTTTAAACATTGGAGGGGAATAAGCAACAAAAATTTGGAAAGATAACTAGTTTTCTCCAGTTTCTCATAAGTACTGAGCTGTAAACTGAAATATAAGCAACACGGAGGTGAGAGGGCCAGTCTGGGTTTGAGTCATATGCTATAATTTTTCTGTACTTCGGAATTTGAAGCCTTATTTGGAGGTGTGGACCGCATTTTTATCTGAAAGTGCTGTTTCTTGGTTCTAAATGACTAAAATATGTCATTTAGACATTTTAAAAATGTCTGGAGACACTATGCCAGTCATCCTGAGATGAATGCAGTCATCTGGGTAGATTTCGGGGAAGCAGAGCCAGCCTCTGCTACTATATATCTGCATTTATTATTCATGGGTCACAGGAAGGAAACAGAGACAAAGAGCCATCTATCCAAAGAACCAAGGACGAGAAGGAAAACAGGACCAATCTACACCTTTCCTGAGGAGTTGGGGATCCTCATTTCCCATCTCACTTTGACAGTAACAATTTTCTCATCACCTGCACAAACTGAACAGGTAAAATGGCGTTCCTGGAGATCTCCTCTGTGCTAGGAGCTATGATCTTCCTAATTTTAAAATAACTGAATTGCAAATAAAGCCAGCAGAAAATCTCTTTATGACCCCTCCTTTTGAGTCACACAGAAGACTGCATCTGATGGGAAGCAGGCTCTGTGAAGAAGCTTGGAGGCACTGCCTATTCCTGTTTACCATCTAGACTGTAACTTCCTTTGTCTAGATCAGACAGAAGAAGAAGAACAAGAAGAAGAACAAGAACAAGAAAAACAGAAAGGGAGAGTCAACTTGTCATTCTGTGTGGTTAGTAAAATAATTATCCATAGTGAGTGTTAAGGAGGCCAACCTGAAGATCACTGTACCAGACTTGAAGTTCCATTTGTCTAGACGGAACTGAGTTGATTTACAAACCCTATTTTAAAGTTATCTATTAGTTACTATAACTTGGAACTGTGGAAACCTGAGTCACACTTACCTCCTGAAGGGATAGGTAACAGGTTTTGGGAGCTGCACAGAAGATAGAAGCCATACAACTTGTACCATGACCACCCCCATATATTGCATTTGTATTGTGAAGATACAATGAAGAAATGCTGAAAGCAGTAGGAAAATGGCTTACCTGATCTTGGGCCCCTGAAGCAGTTGTGACATGTCCAATCTGTATCCGCCCTAAACATCCCTCTTTAAAGTCTCTCAGCTTTTTTTTCTGTCAGTTCATGATTAACTATCTCTTCAGGTCTCTGTCCTACACAAATAGCAAGGGGCAAAAAAACCAAAAAGATCAAAGCTCAACGATCTAGCTAGAAATTTGCTCCAGACTCCTGTGTGTCAAGACTGTTGTAAAAACGTCTCAGGATTTATACATTATCTTAAACTAATGCTAAAATAATAAGCTTTATTTTTAGAAGTTGCTTGCAGTTTTCATTAGGTTGCATTGGTTGCACATTATTTTCTTTGGGAATATAAATATAATATATTATCCAAGGTATTAAAACTCCATTTGGGAAAAAAGCCAGTGTAATTCTGAAAAAGAACCCAGGTTGTTTCATTTTCAAACGAAAATTTGCAGCATTGCTTGGTACTTGGGTAAAGTTCTTAAAATTATAAAATAATTTTATCATAATGAACTCAGAAAAAATCACACAGCTATATTAAGAAAGCCTCTGAAATAAATGCTATCAATGTATAGTTATTTCATTCTTTTGGTTAGATGTATACTTAGGTACTTAATTTATATAGCTATTATGAATGGAACTTTTTTCCCCATAAGAATATGTTGCTAGTGTCTAAGAAGGCTGATGGATTTTAATATTGATATTATATTCTGCATTTCTACTTTGCATGCTGATTACATCTAAAAGTTGGCTAGTCCACTCAAAAAGGTCTTAAAGTACCGAATCATGTCACCTGCAAATAGAAATAATCTGACAATTTTCTTTCCTTTAATGACTTTCATTTGTCTAAATTGCCAAAGCTAAGGCTTTGATGACTATATAGAATAATAGAGGGCAGAGTGGACCTCTTTTTCTTGTTAATGATTTTAGAGGACATATTTCCAGTTTGTCTTCATTTAATTTAATCTTGGCTCTAGGTTTGTTGTATTTATTATGCCTTTATTGTTCTGAGGCATGTTTGAGCTATTCCTATTGAGTACACGATGATTATATTAAAGGCATATTGAATGTTGCCAAATGTTTTTTCAGAAATTGAAATTATTATGTGTTTTTCATCTTCAAGTTGTTTATATTATATACTACATTTATTGGTTTATATATGTTGAACCACCCTTGCCTTTCTGGGTCGAAGCCCGTTTTACATACTATATGATGTTAATTTGTTCCTGAATTCAGTTTGCAAGAATTTTATAGAGAATTTTTGCATCTCTGGCCATCAAAGAACTTGAGTCTTATTTTTCTTTTCTATTGTGCCACCAACTGGTTTTGGTATCAGAATAACTCTAGTGCTTCAAAACAATATTGAAATGGGGTGGGAATAGTGGACATCCCACTTTCCTTCCTGACTTCAGTGGGAGTGCTTCAAGCTTTTCTCCATTTACGACAATGTTGGCTGAGGGTTTCCAGACACAGCTTTTGTTATGTTGAGCTTGTTCCATCTAGTCTTTCATTCTCCAGACTTTTATCATGAAGGTATGTTGGATTTTTGGTGGACACCATGCAGGAGGAAGTGCAGTGGGCATCTGAGATTCCTGGAGATGGTGCACCATTTTGCGCAGCTGTAACGGATGTACTTCAGAAAGTTTCCTCTCTGGGATAGCATGGTATGAATGGGCATGGGGAAACCCTCACTGCCTCTATCCTGGTGAGATTGCTTATTGGGAGACAAAACATTCTATTGGGCAATTTCTCTGCAGATCAATATGAAGATGAATCTCCATAAAATAATATTGTTTAGATGAATTAATGATTTTACAGACTTCCTGGATTGAGTTAAATAAAGTTAGGAAATTAGGGAAGTTGGTAAAAAGTTACAAAGATGGTTTGCCTGTTTTTCCAGAAAAATATAATAACATTAGACTCTACTTGGATTTTTTTGTTTTCTCTGAGTCTTCCTAGAGGAATGTCTGCATGACATTAATCTATATGGATCAGTAAAACTTGGTGTGAATTATCAAATGGAGTTGAAGGAGTGGTCCGGTCTTGGTTGTGTGGCAACAGGACTAAGGTTAGGTCTGCATGCTGGACTCTAAGTCAACTTGCTGGAGTTAAAACCTTGTTATCCTTGGGTAGGAGGTCAAAGGCCAAATCCCCTTGATGAAATCTATGTATTGTCTAGAGCTGTATTGAGAACCAGAAGCCCAACATTTGGCCTCTGGGACAAATATATAGACTCTGGTAGACTCTTCGCACAACGATAGACTTTCCACCCTGCAATGACTGCTGGGGCCTCAAGCTGCCATCTCACACTGACCTTTGAGACTAATTGAGCCAACATCCCAGTTCCTCAGGTGACACTGGGTCCAGCTCTGAGCTGACCTCTGTGGACACTGGGGATGGAGGCAGTGTTAATTGCAGTGATTCTGGTCTCAACAGAGCCAAAGGTCTGCTCTTACAGTATCTGCAGGTCCTCTCTTAGTGGGGTACCTGGTAGAGCAAGGTGCTCTCTGGTCTGGAGATGGAGACATGGTATCCTAGTGTTCTCTCCCATGTGGAATTGTTAAGTTCCCTCTAATTACAAGTGTCTTCTTGAAGACAAGAATCAACACTAGTTTGCTGTATTAAAATCAAAACCAGGAAAAGAATGATCACTCTCTTGTAAGAGATTGTTTTGAGTAGGATGCAGTTGAAGGCTTGATTAATTCAATAACATAAACACTTTTCTCTTAAATAACTCAAGTCTTGGTTTCTGTTTTAAGTGCACTGATAATAGTAATATCTTCTCCCCTCCAGTGTCTCTCTCTGTATGTCTCTTTATCTCTCTGTTCTTCTGTGTATATGTACCTTTTTGTCTATGTATGCATAAGTACACATCATTACCTTGAATCATTCTTGCATCACACTAGATAAACTGTAATAACATATATTTAATCTCTATTTCTCAGTCATTTAATATACTCCTAGTATTCCTTATTAAAATTTAGAAACATGAATCTAAAACGAAACAAAGAGAGAAAGAAGTGTGTGCAGAGATTAGGAAGGCTATAAAACTGGCTCCAAATACTCCTTTTGTGTCCAAAACTTCTGTGTGATCTTTACTATAAAATGGTCCACACAGGTGATGCAGATCCAACAGTCCACAGGGCAGGGTTTGTTTGTTCTAGACAAGGCTCTCCTGTGTATTTCAGGTATCTCAGGAATTTGGACTCCTCCTGCTTCAGCCTTCCAAATGCTGAGATTACAAAGCATGCACCACCACATTTAAAAGATACACTTTCTAAATAAACTTACAGCCATTTCTGCATAATGCTGTTGTGTGAGAGCACTGAGGCTGAGTTTTCTATAACTCATAACATTTCCATAGTTTTTATGGATGTGCTTTCATCCAGAAGATGGGGATATGGCTTGAATAAATTCATGACAATATTCTGATGAAGATCAAATCAGGCATATTAAATATGAATCTTTCCAACCCATCATAGAAGCTGTCAATTATAAAACTCCAGAATGTTTTCTGAGGCCAGAGAGTGTTTTCCTTCTAGAGTGCTCTTACAGAAAACAAGTAGAGGTCAGAGAAGAACCATTGCACAAATCCTTTCAGGATCAATTGTATGCAAAAAGGAAAAGATCAATAGAGTTGCAAAAACTTCCCATAAAGTCTACCAATGTTTATTGTAGAGCTGCCTATCAGTAGTGATGAAATACCAAGGACTTTGAAGTTTGATAGATAGGCAGAGAAGGACTTTCTGAAAAAGAACTCAAATATCACAAGACATAATGCCAAGAACTGACAGATAGAATTGTGTGAAATTAAAGAGTTTCTGCACTGCAAAGGAAATAATCAACAGTGAAAACATTGTCTACAGAATGGGAAACATTCTTTGCCTAGTCCGTCAGGCTGAAGATTACTTTCTATTCTATTTCTCATCAACAACAATCCTTCGAAGGCTATTTATAACTATTGTTTTAATTTTCCCTTCTCATATTCTTCCTTGAATATAGTCTAATCCTGTTTCTTCTACCTCAAGTTTGCACTGTAACTGCCCCGGCCTAGATCATGTGTTATCTAAATGCTAGGTGTTGTTTTCCTCTCTTGATGTAAAATGTTGCCAGCATCTTGAAAATTGATCATCATCCCCCAGTAAAAATATTTTCCAGGACACATCTCTCATAATTTTCCTTCTACTTCACTGCCTATATATTTCACATGCTCTCTTCTATATCTTCAGAACCTTAATTAAAACTAAACAACTGGAATTTGGTGATACACTTACTTTTATATCTTAAAATACTGTATGTTAATTTAAAATTTTAGCCGCCAATTTAAATTTACTCCCTAACACAGTATTTAACTATTTTATCTAGTATCACTCTCTTATGTTTAGTTGGTGTCTCATACTTAGCCCTTTCTATACTGTTCTCCTCTAACCCAAACTTCTCCACATACAGCAATTTTTTTTGCATTTAATTGTTATTCAGTTCTGACATTTACAAAAGCATGCAACGTATTGTAACCAGTAAAGATGCTTCATTTATTCAAATGAATATTCAAAGTTATTCAGAATATTTTTCTCATTAGTTCCGCATCTGCCACACTGGATTCTAATTATGAAAATACTCTCAATCTTACATCCCAAGTTGTTTCCTTACCACCTACTACTCTTTTTCTCTATCTTCAGGTTTGTATCTACATTTCTGCAAAATAGCCATATTCATCAATATGCTAATCAGGCCATATCATGATATGTGTAAGCAGCCTCACTTACTTATCATGCCGAGGTCACTGGATAGGGCTGTTAGGAATTAAACCAGGCTGGGGGCGGGGGGAACATAGCAAGCCTGGGGCTGTGACAAATTTTTGCTGAGAGCAATAACAGTTGTTATACTATCATCAGAAATGGAGTATAATGACAATGGTCAGGATCATTGAAAAGGTCATTGCCCAATACAATGACCTTTGCTAGCAATAGAGGGCACAGAAGTTTAACAAGTAAGACCAACTCTGTCACACTTCCATGCTTCCTTGATGGCCAGCAGAATATACAGAGAAGCAGGCTGAATGCTTCATTGTCCTTGAGGGA